AAAAAAAAAACATCAATTTATCAGTTCGGATTTAAAAGCCAAATTATGTGGTTTTTTTTCGGGTAGTTTTGGTGTCGAAATGAACTAAGTTTAAGGATATTATCACAAGAATTAATAGCTGGATAGGTGAGGCTATTTTACCTATTTAGCTCTATCTAATAACGCTTAAATCTTTTGGTGCTTATTCATTAATTCCCCAGGAATATTTTCAACATTGCGAAAACTGTATATGTTTACATACGAGTTTGCCTAAAGCTCAAGTTTTTTTCAATGCAACTCTTTAACATTTTTATCGATTATCGCGTCATTAAGAATAATAAAATCCTACATGGTGGGCATCCTGACATCACATCACATCACGTCACATCACATCACATCACATCGCATTGCATCATGTCACGTCACGTCACGTCACATCACGTCACGTCACATCACATCACATCACTGCTACCAATTCATAATAATTTTCACTAGATCCTCTAGATTAATATGGAAGCTTTATGTTGGTATTAGGTTTTCAAGAACTCTGCTTGTAGCAACGAAAATTTAAGGAGGTAATTTTATCAACCCTTAACTTTCGCATGAGTTTGCACCGTACTACCAAGTGGCAATTTTGATGTTATTTCTTGTTTTCCTTCTTGTTGGCTGTAATTGCTATTTAAGCTTATGTGTAAAGATATAGTTCCGGCGTGATTAGCAAAACGTCAGGTTGATCCATGATTCAAAGCCTTATAATAATCAGGTGAGAAAGAATTAATGTTGTCTGTGAAAGTTTTCAGGGCTTGCTAATGTAAAGCAATAATACTTTTATTTTAGATACCTGTACATTGTTTTGCCGAAGAGGAAATCTCCTTTATGTTAAGGGTTTAGTAAAAGACGGGACAAAATGTCTCCACGGTGCGGAAGAGGGTAACGACGTTTGCATTGGTGGAAAGTGCATGGTATGATGCAACACATTTCATGCTTGAACCTATGTTAGGATCCCTAGCATATAGTATGGTTTGATCACAGACAGGAGGGACGACGGAGTGGAGACAACCGTGAATTAGACGTCAGGCTAATAAACTTAGAACGGGTTGTTAACCGAGTACTTTATGCATACAATGAACGAACGAAAGATCGAGCGAACGAATTGAAACGAATGAATGAATGAATGACTGAATGAATGAATGAATGAATGAATGAATGAATGAAAGCGCATGGCAGAACTAATTCACTAATAACATTCCCTCCGCCCAATGATCCTCCACCGCAAGCTAACTAGAGACTTTTTTATGAAAAATTAAAAGTGCAATTCCTCGCCTGACAGCAGGTCTATGTTCTTCGCATTTGGCAACCAAAATCTTCTGTTGAGTATCTGCTCCCTGTAACTCATTAAATAATTAAAAACATCAATCACCCTCGAACTATTGGGCATCGAATTTTTAAATTTTCCCATACATCTACTGCAATTTTTGCTCTACTTTTCCCTCAAGTAAGATGAAGTCAGGAAACGTCAAAAGGTCTACTGAGTAATTATTTAAAGGAGAAAGACACTTCAAAAAACTTCTATTTTGTCTCCACGCGTATAGCAAGTAATCATTAATATTGGGTTTTTGCACTCACCGAAGTTTCAGCCTCTTAAGAGTCTGCTATCGTGAAGAAATTGGTCTCGAAAGAAGCCCAAAATTCGACTTTGGAGGACGCCATTTTGAAACTGTACTTGGCAGTCAGGCTGTCTTTATGTGACGTCATTCCGTCCAACTCGAAATTGGCGGTAAGCAGAAAAACCTGCAACTGACTTGGCATCCTTCACAAGATCAGCAAAATGTATTTTTTACAAACGATTATCCACGTCACTATCTTCACTGCCCAGAGTGGTAGTTGAAAGGCTTCTCGGAAACCATCGGGACAAAATCCCTTCGGGACGGAAAGACGTCACGAAAACGCGGCCTGGCTGCTGAGTGCTGTTTAAAATGGCGGCGACGATCCCGGGTTTTGGGTTTATTTGGAGAAGAATTTCACGAGGAAACCTGCACTTTAGAAGCTGAAACTTCGGTGAGTGGCAAAACTTAGTGCGTGGTTTTTATTACCGTTTTATTAGCCTTTTTTAGGGGTAGCATTATCCTTTAAAATTTTACCCCGTTCCATCGAAGTATATAGTAGCTCGATACTAGTCTGATTGGTTCCTGATTATCAATTTACTAAAACTTTTAACACAGACATAATAGTTACAGATAATATCTAGATGACGTTAATATTATCTTATAGCCTGTCGGGTGCGATTTCAACATCGGATCTGGCTTTTCATTTGATCGTTGTGGAGTTTGCAATGGAGACAGCACCAAATGCACTAAGGTGATGCTCACCTACACTGATGACTGGCGTGAGAAAGGTAAGGAACGTAAAATTAAGTAAAATTACGATAGTCACATCAGCCTTAACTGGTTTTCGTGCTGTTGTTTCTTTGTGGAGGAAGGAAAACAGAAGAAAAGTCTTTGGGACAAGGCGAAAACCAACAACAAACTAAACCCACATATGGCGCCGAGCCGAAATCGAATCGAACCCGGGCCATGTTGGTGGGAGGCTGAACGCCCTCACCACAGCGTCATCCTTGCTCCCCAAACACACCGACTTGTTTGGTCCTACTTGTTTATATCTTAACAAGGCGCTTTAGATACGAGGGCTCGAATTTCCCAACTTATTCCCTTACTCTGTTGCGCAGAAACATTTATTTTCTAAGTTGTAGCTCACGTTCATAAATTTTCAACTAAATTATATTTTGCTCGTTACAATCACAGGAGTTGACAACGCGGACCTTATGTGTGTGGTTCCCAAGGGATCAAAAAATATATGGGTGTTCGAAAAGGCTGCTGATAAAAATAATATCGGTGAGAAGTACATTTTGTATGTGGTCCTAAAAATTAGCTACCCAGCCACACAGTGCTTTGTTTATGTATTTCTGTACATTTATTTTAACACTAACACACTTTTTATTTTTATTTACCGTCAGGTGTACAAGATGCCAAGAAAACCTACCTCATAACACCGCCTAGAGCTACAAAGATCAATGCAGCTGGTAGCACAATCACCTATGGTAAAAAATCTAACAAAGAATTTGTGTATATTCCTGGACCAACTAACCAGCCCCTTAGATTCATGGTAAGAAACATAACTAGGACCATCTTTTGTTTAATTTAATGAATGGTGTTAGCATATGAGCTATATTTCACTGCTACATCAACATCGATTGCAATTGACGTTAAGCAGCTCTGAACAATGTGATTATATCAAAATTTGTCTAATTTTACACCATATCAAAAGCTCAGCAAAAAGAATATTAACTGATAATCTCATTCAAGCCATTGTCCTGCTGAAGATCACTTATGGACTGCAAGCGTATGGAGTGAGTATAGCGGACCTGGATGCTGTTCAGAGTTTCCTCAAAAGATATTACATCTTTTTCAATCTTTATAGTTCGTGTATAACAGGGGCATAAACAATGGAGCTGTTTGCAGTTACCTAAAAAAAAAGAAATCAGTGATTAGTTCAAGCGACGTTGAGTGGATCATTGATGAGAAGACAGGATGGTCAACGTGTTCTGAGGATTGCGCTGGAGGTAAAGGCTAGATCTGGTCCACAATTCGTACGCATTTATGAGACTACCTATATTTTAATTCCAAAAAAAAAAATATATATATATATATATATCCAGACACCTTGCCCGTTGCCAGTTTTGTTCCTGCATTTCACGCACGTCACAAAACTCAGAAACATGCACAATGGTAGCTGCAATTCAGTATTAACTCTCTGGTAAACATAGACACGGACACAGGTACCTACAGTGGACTTTTTCTAAAGTCCTTTTATCTCGAACTCGTCAGTTATCTTGAACTATCCGCTATCTCGAGCTCAAATCATTTTATTCATATGCGTTGTCACTCCGAAATATATTTTTGTTCTCAAAGAAGGTTTGAGAAGTACAGTTCAATTTTACTATGCAATGAAGTAGTTAAAAAAAAATTGCAGAAAAAAACTTAATCAAGTATCCAAGAACGAACTGGCTCTGCGATAAGAAAAGGACGCCGCTAAATAACTCGAGATACTATTTAACGACAAGATAATTAAAAACGAGAGTTTTTGAAGAGCTCACATGTTAATTCCAATCGGCCAGTAACTTACAGGAATCTACTACAAATTAAAACCATACAAGTGTTTTGTATTGATGTTTTATTCGCAGGAAAAAAAACTCGACAAGTAAAGTGCAAACGAAAGGATGATCAATCAATAGTTGCAGATAAGATCTGTGAAAAAGGTGCCGACAAACCACAAGATGAGATGCCGTGTAATACTCAAGCTTGTACTCCAAGGTTTGTCAATGAACTCTGCTCCGCCGAATGGCTAACGATTCACAACTTAACTTCACCTTCACAAACTCGCTACTTTGGTTAATTTACCTTTGTCAACAAATCGGCTAAGTGTATCACTCGCCCGCTGACGCAGCGCAACCATCGCTTTTTCGAAATTCGCACACAAGTTTAGTTAATCTTTGAATATATAAAATGCTCACTCTAACTTTGAGAATTAGAATAAAACCTAACTCGCATACTGACCACAGGAGTGACTCGATGTTTCCCAAGCCCCGAAGAAAGCATAAGTTCCATCAAATTAAACGATGTCCCCATGTCTGAAACAGATGGCACCTGACTGGATGGAGCTCCTGTTCAAAGACATGCGGACGTGGTGTAGTGACGCGTGAACTGTCCTGCAGAGAAAAAGTGAGTCAGGACCCAGAAGAATACAAAACCGTGAGTGAAAGCAGCTGCAAGGAACCAAGACCAAAGGAGCTCCAGAGAGCTTGCTATAAAGTAGCCTGTCCTGCTGAATGGGTTCCTTCTCCATGGGGAGAGGTAAAACCGTTGTCTGTTTGACGTGTTCTTATACATATACATTCTTCGATATTTTATAGTAGTTATATAATCTAAGATAGTTTAGTTTAATATTTACACCCAATTGCACATTTTTCTGTGTTATTTTTTTTTTCTCGGCGCACCTGTAAACTAGCTGGTGCGTCTTGTAGACTCTACTTATCAAGGGTATGGGCTGCACCGTTACCATAGCTAAGTGTGTGTCCAAGTAAAATAAACTCTCTCTGTCTGTCTATGTCTATGTGTTCTCAATTTGTATACATGCAGGTAATAATCTGTATTTTTGGTGCCAAAAGAACGATACTGTCGAGTGAGTAATATTTCGGGTGCAGTTTGGGAATGTCATTTTTACTAAAAGTGTCATTACTAAAGCCAAAATTAGAATTGACCGGATGTTAAGCACTTATACCACAGGGTTCCACTTAACAGATGCATGCCCCTTAGTAGGTGGGCACTTGAGAGGGAGAACCAATACATACATACACTGTAGTAATAAAGCTTTGAGTAACATCTAAAGCCTGGGTCTGTATTACCAACGTAATGCATACATACAACCTTTATAAAGACACGATTACATGGCAAAAGTTTCAGCTTGTGGGGTCGCGTACCAGCTAAATAAAACAAATAACAATTATCAAAGTTCAATGTTTTGATTTACAATAAAAAGGAAAAATCTACATCAAAAAAGATACGGAAAAAAACATTTTATAGGAAAAAATAAACGCTATAACATGACGTTCCGGTGTCATCTTGTCGCCATTACCACCTAAGTTAGTATATGTCTGAACTGAACGACTTTAGTCTGCATTTGATAATGGCCACAAGGTGACGTATATTTTTCCTTTGAGATCTACATTAAACTAGGAAGTTAGACAACTCTTGTTAAGATTAAAAACATTTAATTTCCATTAGTCTGTAATTAGTCGTTTGTGAAGATTTTTCACAAAAGACTTGAAGCTACTTTTTTT